GCTCAGTTTTTCTTCTCCTGCTTGGCAGCCTACACTGAGTGCTATCTCCTAGCAGCCATGTCATATGACCGCCATGCAGCAATTTGTAACCCACTSCTTTATTCAGGCACCATGTCTGCTTCTGTTTGCATTGGGCTTGTTGCTGGTTCCCACATAGGAGGCTTTCTGAATGCCATAGCCCACACTGCCAACACCTTCCGCCTGAGTTTCTGTGGTAACAATGTCATYGACCACTTTTTATGTGATGTTCTACCATTGGTAAAAATGTCCTGCACAGACACTCGGGTCTATGTCATAATCCTTTCCAGTATGGTTGGCTTCACTGTCCTCTCCTGCCTTCTGGCCATCCTCATCTCCTACTTCAACATCCTCCTGGCCATCCTGAGGATCCGTTCAGCCTCAGGAAGGCGCAAGGCCTTCTCCACCTGTGCTTCCCACCTGGTCTCTGTCATGCTCTTCTATGGATCCTTGCTCTTTGTATACTCAAGGACCAGTGCCAACTACTCCGTGGAGAGTGACAAAGTGGCTGCCCTGTTCTACACCATCATCAACCCATTTCTCAACCCTGTCATCTATAGCATCAGAAACAAAGACGTCAAAGAGGCCTTTAGGAAAACTATACTGTCCATAGGACCACAAGCTTGAGGTTTATTTTATGMWTTTATTGCAGTTTGCAAATTATTGTTTGGTAGTCATGTTTGYTTGAGTTTCTGAAGTTCGAAACTTGTAAGAATGAAATATTGGTCAAAACRCACTTTTATTTTCAGGAGTGCTGGTTCTTCCTTTCTCTCTCTTTCTGGCCATGAAGTGAACAGTTCTGCTCCAGCAAATCCTTCTGCCATGATGTTACCACAGGCTGAAAGCAACAGGGCCAATCAACCATGGAGCAAAATATTCAAAACTATCAGCCAAAATAAACCTTTATATGTTATAAGTTAATTATTTTAGGAATGTGTTATAGTGATAGAGCTAATTACTAGATTTAAAAAGTGAAAAGGATTTCCAGTTCATTTAATTACTAATATTTTTATACTTTTACTCTTTATATAGATGGCAGAACACTTTTCCTTGGAGAAAACTGTCCTTGTCTAGGAATTTTGATTTTAATTAATTTTATTGGATTCCAGGCTCATAGATATTCAGACGAAAGTGATATGATTCTTTCTACCATAAAAATAATGATAATTCATCCTTGGATACAATCAAACAACACAGGAGGACACACATTCAGTATGACTTCTCTGAAACCCACTTGTGCACCTGCACAGAGATTCTTCAAGAGTTGGGTTCTGAATTTTTCAGACCCAGAAGACCATGGTAACCTGCTMACACATTATTCTCCTAGCTAAGTTTAAAAATTCATATCTGAACCTAAAAATAAATTTAATTCAAAATTATTAAAATTTCTATTTTTGTATTTAGAGAGAAACTTCTTTGGTCTGGAGACTTTTTTCTACATTTCATTTTGCATGAGTAGGTAGTCCCCAAAGAATGAAATAATGTGAGTATTTAAGTGATACTACACAAAATGTGTAATTCCCCCCACCCCCCACAAAAAAAATCTTAGAATGGGGATAACCTGCAGAATAGCATTTTAATAAATGTGTGAGTCAAATAACATTGAACTATCATATATGTCTGTGTTACTTTAAACAAACCATGCCAATTACAATGGAAAAATATTTTTTKCAAAGTGGAAAATATTAATTTCAAGAAATGCTGCCATGCGTGTGGCACATGCCTGTAATCCCAGTGGTTCCAGAGGCTGAGGCAGGAAGATGATGAGTTCAACGCCAGTCTCAATAAAAGCAAGGCACTAAGCAACTGAGTCCATGTCCTCAAGTAAAACACAAAATAGGACTGGGAATGTGTGTCAGTAGCTGAGTGACCCTGAGTTCAATTACCTGTTACACCCCACCCCGAAAAATAAGGGAATTCAGAGAAGTTCTAAATAGTTTTAGCTTAAGTCAATGAAGGCCTTCTAGATGTGAAATTATTGTGATCTTTATAGTCAGTGTCAAAATATGTTCCTCCCTATGGCTCACGATTATCTTCTAAAAAGAACATTCTGCTTTATAGATTTAAATTTCAAGTTTTCTCATGCAACTCTTGTCTACTGATGAAGCAATTCTGGGCAAGTAATACATTTAAAGTACCTATATTTAAAGCATAATTAGGTGTTTATATCTATATACATATATATACATATATATATATGTGTGTATATATATATATACACACATACATACTTGATTTCCAAAAACACTATTGTTAGTCTTTGGCGTGTGTGTGTGTGTGTGTGTGTGTGTGTGTGTTAAATATGATATCAAATGCTTTAGCAAGTTAAAATCCTCCAACACTGGAGGAGAGGGAACTGAGAACTCCTGGGGAATGAGACCACATGACATTGATCAGATAATGTTATGTGCTTTAAGGAATATGGCACAATGAATTCCATGCTCAAGTATAATTATAATCCACCAATAAACAATCTCCAAAATTTATCTAAAATATAAAACTTAAAGAAATCTAAATGTTTCTATGAACTTTTATGGGTGTTGTTTCATTATGCTTCTTCATTCTGCTACTTCAGAAGCCTTAAGATGTTTTAAAAAATGTTTCTATTCTTGGTGTTTCCTGATTTGCTTGGGATTTTAGTGTTTGTTTTTTTCTAATCATGGATTTAATCATAATGTAAAATGTTAGGTTTTGGTGTCCAGTAGTGAGATACTAGTTCTCTTTGTGAATATTCAACATTTTCAGAAAATGCAATGAGAAGATTGTGAAGATATTTCAAAGAAATCCTTTCTTCAGTAGTTACCACATCTTAGTAGGAAATGGCTGTTACATTGAATTCTTGGATATAAATTGGCACAATTTGTTCTAAGAAGGAAATACAAACCCTTATATGATTCTCCAACCTATGATGAGTTAGTTACTTCACAGATTGCAAAGGAGACTTGGATCCTTGGAGAAAGGGCATCAAACCTGGCCAAAGTGTATGTATTCATCTTCCTCCAAGCCTATACATGAATGGCTTGTAGCCATTTACCTAGGTATTCCAGATCTCCTGGGGATGTGTTAGGGAATCTTGATTGTCAACTGGTTTGGATTGAGAGATGACTAGGAAATTCAGAAAGCACACTTCTGAGTGTATTTGTAAGAGCAGAGATAATTGACATGTTCATCAACAAACTGAGTAAGGAAGGCCTGCCCTGAATGTGGGGAAACCATCAAATGAGGTGAGTGTCCATATGAAACCAAAAGTGGAATTCAGAGGAAGTCCACAAATCTACAAGTGTGTACAAGCTGGATTCTTCTTGAGCAGGTGTTTTTGGGTTTTGCTATGACCCTTGTCCCAGAGCATTAAACTACAGATTCTTTAGGCTTTTATTGTGAATTCACAACAAGGAGTCACCAGGGAAATCCCAGCGTTCAGCCTTGGACTGGGGCCGCATCACTGGTTCTTCTTGTTCTGATCTTCTAACTTCTTGGACTGAGCAGCTACTGATTTCTCATCAACTGGGCTAAAGAAAGCAATGTGTACTATTACTTTGTCCTGAGTGAATGCCTCAGTGGTTCCAAATATACAGCAGATCATTATTTACCCAGAAGAAAAATCACAATTAGGTAGAGATACAAGTAAAACAGAATGATTTTAAGTTCCTTCCTCTCACTCTTAGCACAGGAGTTAACATTGTTTAAAGCCTCAAATGCAATGGAAGCTATTCACTTTTCTCCCTGTAGACACTCTCTACTAAAACAGCAAAGAAAATGCAATCCCAAGTTCTTGGGAGAAATAGAGAGGTAAATGTATCCATTAAAGTCTTGAATGTTGTWGAGTTCATGTGTTCCCTTCTACTCATCTCTTTTGAGTAGTGGGATGAATTGAGGGTCTTCTCTATGGAAATTATGATTGAACATTTTTAATAGGTCGACAGGTCCAAGCCGTTTTGCAGAAATAGTGTTTTTCTTTGAAAACAAAATGGAGAGAATAAATTGGAGGCTGAATTAAGAACTATTTATCTTTAAAGACTACAACTGAATGAGGTTTTCCCTAACATGCAACAATTGAGCCTTGGAGGGATATGCAAAGAACTTTGAGGTCAGTGTGTTTATAGAAACAGGGACTAAGACAAGCTAAGACTGTCACACTGCCCTGAGTCTTCAAAGTCAAGAACTGTCATACAGGAAGTMCTACATTCCTTATGTCCACAAAGATGTACACACTTCCGTCTATGTTTGCATTTATGTGGAAATTGCTACTAGTCAACTAGATGAGTTCACATGCACTCAATGTTCAATGCATGTCAGCCTGTTTCCCCACACATTCCATTTGATGCTCAAGGGACCATTGCACATCATGACCATAGCAGGTGACATGAAATCTATACCTATATCTATACCATTTTCTTCCCCTCATCTGGGTGATTTGGCTGCTTCTATTAGTTAGGTCCAAATGCTAAAGGCAGAAACCTTTGCCTGTGATGTGCCTGTGATATGCCATCACTTTCTGGGAGGACTGGTGGATCATTTGGGTAGCAGGAAGTTGAGATTAGACAACTTCTTGCTCAACCTCACAGGGGTAATGGCCTGCTTTCAGGATTTATTAAATTTTGTAAGATTTATTTATTTTACCCATTTTCCTGCCAGTCTGTCTAGTTAATGACTTACCTAATCCCTTATGCATGTTTTATTAGTGTGGTCACTGATTTTTCCTGCTTATAATCCATTCTCCATGCATTTGTTCTGATAATTCTCCAAACATTTTATCTAATGTCCATCATAGCTGTCTTTTGAAAATGCATTATGGTCCTCAATTGTCTTAATGATTGCATGAGATTGCCTATTCGTAAATTCAAGCTGAGTACCTATTCCAATTTAAACTACGTCAGGGAATATGAAGAGTCACAAGTGTGTTCCCATAACTATGCACCTAAATACAGTGCCAAAGAGTCTCCTGGGGGAACACTTCAACATGGGGAAAAGGGAATTATATTATGTAGTCTTGCGGTAAAGGCAAGGATGCAGAGGTGATTTCTAAAATTTTTACCAGAATTAAGGTTGCTTTTGATTAGAATCCTAATGGATTTATATTCAAGTTGTGGGAAGAAAGAAAGGAAAAAATATTGTGTCAGACAAAATTCTCTAATATAATGTCACTTAGAAAGATTGTTCCACATCAATACAGGGTGAAAGGGCAACCCTCAATCCATTTACCAAGTGCTCATCTACCCAAACCAGGTCAGAATGACAGAGGTCAGAATAAAGGAGACAGTACCACAGAGTACCCTGCGATTGACAAGGGCCACACATCACACATGCAATGAGGGAAGTCAGATTTACTCAGAGAAAGCATGCCAAGGAACCGGGCCCAGAAGACACTTGTGGGAAAGATAGAAACAGGGACCTTGGATTGTAACCCTGGTTTTATTATTCTAGTTATGAGTGATTTTTTTTATAATGGAGAAAATCCAGTGAACACAGTCTGGATAGATGAAAACTGGGTTGTTTCTTCTGTCAGAAAAATTGACTCAGAGAAAGAGAATATTTTGTTGTTCCTTCATTTGGACCATATTTTAATCACCCACCCGTCATCCCTCCCTCAGCCCACTGTGTTAACTTGGTTCAGGTTCCTTCGTAGG